TCATCCCTGAGCTGTAAACACAGACGACAGAATCGTTGCGAAATGGGATGGGAATCATCGGTAGTATACAGCGTCCCTTTTTAACCGAATTTCGAGGCCTGACGTGCTTTGCTGGTTTTTTCAAGCAATTCGAGGAGCCTTAGTTTGAAGTTAAGGCTTTTTATGCCCGGATTATTTTAGATTATAAGCTGTCTGTTTGGGCTAGGTTTGAAGTGTCGGTTTCCTAGGTCGTCAGGGCATGACTTTCCTACTCAGTCTGTTTGCCGAATTAAATGGATATTTGTAGTTTTTCGAAATTGAAGTTTCATTTGTGCATAACGTAAGACCAAGGTGTGACTCAGAGTTGTATTTAAAGCCTCCAGTCTGCACATGGCTGGAGAATATCCTTGCAAAATTTCAGCTTCAGCCGGATTGAGCTAAGCTTGAAATCCGAGGTTTCCACGGCCAGTTTTTCTGTTTTGGCGTTCCTCCAGGCGATTTGAGCGCTTGTATTCGAATTCAGGCCAATTTAGGCGAACTTTACAGTTCCACTTTTCAGGCCGTTGTATTAAGACTGTTTTAGAGGCCTATACAAGCATTTTGGGCCGGCATTTTGTAACTTTGGCTTGTTTCTTCCTCTTATCTCTTAACTTTTGTTGAGAGGCCGGAGCATTTTGGGTGTGTGAAAAGCCAATAATTAAGCAATAAAGTAAGAGAAAAGGAATCATTTTAAGTATCATTTGCAAGCAGACATGTTTCATTCCTTAGCTGTAAACACTGACCATTTTACCGAGCATGCCAGTAGAAATGGTAATCATCAGTACAGCCTCTTACTCGCCTCGCCATGCATATGATAAGCATATACCAGGTGGCATAAGATCAGTCAGATTTGACCTAACTGTTTGATAAGGTGCTAAAATAATCCAGTCTTATGAGCTTAAAGACCTGGCACAGCTGGGCTGAAGAGTTGCGAAAAGAGCTCAATTTTTTTGGGCTTGACGGAGGGATTGGGCTGTTTTAGTGCCTTACCTGGCCAGAACTTGAATCTTCCAGTACTTGATGAAAATACGAACTTGTGCGTTTTCAGTGAAATTGGTTCGATATTTTTTTCATATTTCAGGCTTTTTTGTCCGTGAAATTGCCCAGTACCCATGGCTACGACTGTTCCCCCGGGAGATCACGATTCTGTTGTAGTCGTTTTGAAAAGCACAGTGAGAAATCGTATTGTTCAAAAATCAACTATTACAGTTATCAGTAATCAGTGTTATTTATCGTTGTTTATCATTATTATCATTATCAGTAAATACTCTGGCACATTTTATAGATTTCCTGTTTGTTTCTCTTAATTTGAGCGCAACGGTATAATTTAATTTATCAGCAATTTCTCTAGCTTATTAAATTATTATTATTATTTTGTTATTTTTATTGATACTGTCATTGTCGCCGTCATTATTATCTTTATTATTATTGTTATTATTATCATTGTTATTACTATCATTATTATTACTGTTATTACTACATTTATTGCCAGTAACTGTTATGATACATAATTGCAAATTATCTCCCTGTTCTATTGGCTTTAATTTAGCGACATAATCTAATTTTTATCAGTAATCACTATTTTGCATTTATAAGCGCCGCAAGCTTTATCCGATTACATTTGCGCCAAAAATTTATCTTTAGGCTGTGCTATTTTAAAGAAAAATCATTATTCTGAATAAAAAGATGATTAAAAAATAACTATATTACATTAAACATTAGACTAATTGCTGCCGAAACTTGTTATTATTTATTACAGTTTTTGCATTTATTATTATTATCATTATTATTTATTACTTCATTATTATCGTTATTGTTATTGTCAGACTATTATTATTGTAATCGGTTATCATTATCAATTAACATTTATCATTTATCAGTAGTATTATCGGTTACTATCATTATTATTATCATTGTTATTATTACTGTCATTGTTGTTATTGTCATTATTGTTATTACCAGTAATTATTTTTTTGATACTTTGAATAGCTGTCATTTCATGTTTGCGCTGCTTCGCGCCATCTACACAGCTGATTGCCTTCCCATGGTTGCTGTGACCGATGTTGCGTAACTGCTGCG